CACATCGGTTCTAGTTATTTCCTCTCCCTCCTGCTGAACCTAACCTAGTTCATGATTGTAATGGCAGCTCAGGAAAAAGAAGGGGAAATAATGAATGGGCTCTGGAAGGATGGGGAGCTCCTTTGAGAGATTCATTCATCTGTGCTAATCGGGGAAACTATTAATGCCAGTAATTAAAGAGAAACCCAAACAAGTTATTAAAGAATTAAACAAAGCTCATATACTAGGGTTGCTACAAAACTTGGATCTGGAATTCATACAACTCGTACTTGAAACTGTAGTTTTGGTTTGGCTCTAAAACCAGAGGCTGTTTCCAAAAATCGGTTTGGGGCCCAGCATCATGCTTTAGACATGCATGCACATGCACTGTCATCACCAGAGTTCTGCATATTTTGACTGTTCTGTAACTGGTGCCAACCCATTCCTAGTCAATAGTTAGGGGGTATATCTTCTGCTAGAGTAAATCAGCATCTCTTCTCTGAATATAGTAGTACGGCCATGCCATCTCACAGAGGCAGCTACAAATGGGCTAAGTATTTCCAAAAAGCATATTGTTTTTTAAGTGGGGAGGTTACCTTATTAGGTTTTCCTTATACGGCTTTGATTTGCATTCTCCTATGGCCCCATCAACACTGGATTTTTCACAATGTTAGAGACCCATCATGACTTGGATGACCAGTTCAGAAGCCATATTAGAATATTTCCTTTCTGAAGCCACATTCTAGCATAGCTAACTTAAGCTTCCCTTGATTGTCAGCCAGATAATGTATTACAGGTTCTATGGGGGACCCGGCTTTTACAATGATGGGCTCTTTGTGGATGAATGGGCCTTCTCCTGATGATGCTGAAAATGGTCCAACACTAGAGCAGCTTTGATGGCTGCTGTGTGGCCAGAGCCTGCACTACACTGTACGTAGCTTTAGTACATTCTATTTCTGTGTACTCCATACACACAGGAGACAGAAGGACCAGCACAGGAACCAGATTTTGAACTGCTGGTGAACTGGAGTAGCTCCACTGACAACAGCAGCCAAGAATCTGGCCTCAAGACTCTCTATGTTTCAATCAACAAATGTGTTTTTATATTGTCGGGGTCTCTTTGTGCTGAGGTCTAGTAGGACTGGGAGTCAGGACAGCTTGTGCCTTTTCCCTAAGGCCTGAATTTTCAAAATGCAACTACAGTAGGAGTTGCAAGTGATCAACAGCTCTGAAAAACTGGCCATTGATTCAAGTCTAAGACTCCAGGCTTCTTCAGTTTTAGTTTGTCATGGGTATGCTTTAGTTTTCTCCCGTTTATGACAAGGACAATGGTACTTGTCTAAGTGCTTTGTGTTATCTGGATAAAAAGGGCAAGGATGTATTCATATTTGCTGCTATATTGGTATATTTTCATTACTGCTGCTGTGGGAACTGTCACCAAAAAGAAACATGCTTTGTAAATCAACCACTTGTAATACATGGCATTTGGTCCCTGTGGGCTCATGAGATGTGTGTTTGTTTTTTTTCAGTGCAAGAGCTTGTGGTTTCCCCTTAAACCATCATGTCAATGGCCAGTCACTGACATGGCCTCCATGACCCACTATGGCACAATCATACACCTATATATCTGTTGGTGCCTTAATCACCATCCTTCTCTGGGGAGTGGGCAGTGGTGGACTGATGGGGCGGGGGGGCATGGCCACTGGCCTGGGTGGGGGTGCCAGGTAGGCCCTTAAGAGTTCTTATCGCACAGTGTGACTTTAAGTATTGCTATGAAAAGGATTGGAGGGGGATGGTGTGTGCAAGCCCTGGGTGCTGGAGACCCATGGTATATCACTGGGAGTGGGATGAAGCATTCACTAAACTGACTTCCATCTTGCCTGTAATTAGACCATATCAGAGTCCAGCTGGTCCCAACCAGAGGATCAGGGCAGTTCATCCTGAGGCTGCAGAGAAACAGGTGCCATCTGCAACAAGCCTGGATCAGTGCCCTGGGTCCAGCCAGTCCTAGCGTGGCAATCAGGGCAGTCAGTCCCCTGAGGCTACAGGCAACAGGCCCCACCCACACCAAAATTTAAAAGCTAGCCTAGCCCAGCTACTCTGTCTTGGCAAAGACTTTGGAATTTTCTCCTGACCTTCCTTACTTTAATTCTTTGATTTCTGGCCCTGATGTGGCTCCAGCTCTGAATGTTACCACACCCTGACTCTGGCATACCCTGATTTGGCTCCAGCTTCTGACTCGGGTTCAGGCTTCTGGCTCACCCTGACCCTGATACCAGCTTCTAGCTCCCTTTGACTGGCTTTGGACTCCTAGCTCCCCAGGAGCCTGGCCCTTGGACCTTGTTCATGTATCAGGTGACCTTCTCTGACTGCCCACACCCTGGTTCTTAACACCATCCCCCTTACTGATAAACACATCACAGGACTGGGGTGTTAGCTGATGTTCCAATGATCTCCTTGACCTTCATCTCTCCCTGTTGGATGGGGGCAGGAACAAAAGGCAGTGAAGACTCTGTCTTCTGGCTACTGTTAGCCCATGCCTCGCTTCCAGACCTGAGATCCAGCCTGATTTTCCTTAGACATTTGGGGATGGCTCCAGAGCAGCTACTGGACCAATGAATTATTCAGGGTGAGGTTTGCAGAGATGCTTTCCCTAGTCTGTTTCAAGAACCAGAGAAGCCAGATGATTTTTGTAGGGCTGCCTACTACATCTGCTCAGGGTTAGACCCTACATTTGGGATCAGGAAGGAATTTTACTCCATAGGAAGACTGGTACTGACCAGGGTTTTTGCTTTCCTCTGTAGTGGGGGAGATGGTCCTCTTCCTCAGATCTCCCAAGTGCATTTTAACAACCCTTGCAGTAGCACAGCACTGACAGCCCTTGTTCCCCTGCTTTACCTGTGGCAGGTTAGATTTGGTGTCTTTGGGCAATATCCCTTGTAGTTCCATAGATTTCAAAGACATTAGGGCTGGAAGTGACCTCGGGAGATTGAATCCAGCCCCCTGCCCCAGGGGCAGGAAGTCAGCTGGGGTCAAAGGATCCCAGCAAGATAAACGTCCAAAAGTCTCTTAAAGGAGTCTGGAATAGGTGCTTGCACCAACTCTGGAGGCAGTCTATTCCAGGCTTTGGGGGCTGGGACAGTAAAGTTTTTCCTCATGTCCAGCCTGAAATGGTCTTGGAGGAGTTTGAGACTGTGTTTTGATCTTGTCATCCCTTGGGGCACTCTGGTGAACAGGTGTCCCCCCAGATCTTGATGTACACCCTTTATATACTTATAGGCAGCCACCAGGTTGTGCAACAGCGTTGATCTACCAGTATGTAGTTTCAGGAACAAGCTGTCTACAGCTTGGATAGGGATGATACTGGCTTGAGCAGGCGTTGGACTATATCAGAGGTGGCCAACCTGCAGCACATGTGCCGCAAGTGGCATGGGCAGTCTCTGTATGTGGCACATGATAAATCGGGGAAGGGATAGGCAACACAATAGCAGACAGCATAGGTGACTGGGAGGGGGTGCACAAGGCTGCACATGCCCCACCTGGCGGGGCCAGTGCCCACTCTGATGGCCGTCACTAATGCTGTTGGTAGGGCTGGTGCCCCCCCTGACATGGCCACCGCTGTCAGCGGCTTCTGCAGGTGCACCCCCAGATTCAGGAGGCACCAGTCACTCATGGCAGATGGGGCAGAGAGCAGAGCAGCAGATTGGGCATGGAGAGGGCACAGGAGTGGCACTCGGGGAGAGTACAGGGGTAATATGTGCCACACCTGCGGAAAAAGTTTGCTGTCACTAGATGACCTCTGAAGGTCCCTCCCAACCCTCCTTTTCCATTATTCTATGATCAGGGTGATGGAATCCCAGCAGAGATTGCTCAGGGCTTTAATTTCATAGTAGGCCACTGTTCTTTCCCATCTTACAGAGGTATCCCTTTGAATTAGTTCAAGAAGATGACCCTCGCAGCTTGAACCATGAGGCACCTCAACAGATTAACTCATGTACAGCAGTTCAGAATGGTAAAAAGTTACTAAATGCTGTAGATCTGTCAAAAGTAGCCATTACTGATGGGACTCATACCCAGCATCATGAGGCTTCCCAGAAGGCAAATATGCCTGCTAAGCAAGATGATCACCCCTTCTCTTCTCTATTTAAGCAGTAGCTGTATAAATCTTTTTAGGCCCTAATCTCCCATGTATTTTTTAGGACATAAGAGATGTATGTTTGCTGGGAGTCTGTCAGGTCTTCACTGGACTTTTATACAGTTACATTTTCTATTATTCCGTATTATAAAAGACACTTCACATATAAAGGAATGTTCAACAGCTTGATTTTAACTACAAAAAGATTTTTAAGCCCCAAATAAAGCAGGGTTTACAACATTCACCAACACAGACTTAAATCAGCATGTATAGCATCTTGTTTTTCCTTGAGAAATCGGGTTCCTCTGGCTGGGGGGGGTCTATGGAATTTAGCCTTTAGTTCGTTCCATTCATGCTGGGATGTGACCATGGAATAAGGGAAAAGTGGCAGCACTGCACAGAGTGATAGATACTCATTTCCTGTATCAGACAGTGTCCCAGGCAAATTCCAACTTGGGTGCTTGTTAAGACAAAAGCCTTCAGCCTGCAGCACCCAGTGCAGAAAAGATTCTTCGCTTTCTTTTCTAAAAAATTATTGTGTAATACACACTACTTGGTATAAAATAACTACTACACTCCTTCCCGAGAGTAACTGCATTTCAGTGGTGGATGGGTGATCTGTGCTTCTGTCACCACAGATTTAGGGTTTTGCTCTCCCCATTTCTCTCTTTGAATCCCAGCAGCCTGTTCTGACTTCACCCCTCTTCTCCCTCCCTTGCCTTCCTCCCACCTACTTTTAGTGCTGTAAACTGGTGCCCAGTTTCCCGCCCTCCTTGCAGCGCCTGAACAAAACAGTGACATCAGCACTTACTTAATTCCTCCCAGATGAGGAGTCGATTCCCCTTCTGGTTCCAGTCGTCCGTCTCGGACTGGGAGAGTAGCCTAGGCCAAGGCTCCCAAGCCAGCAGGCAGGCAGCAGGACTACCTGGAGTCCACACAGACACAGTAACTGCTCACCTTCCCAGGAGAGGTACTGTCTGTCTGACCTCCTTATCTCCCGACTGAAGTGGGACCCTGGTGTCAAAGTCTCTGTGATGTGTTTGCTGGGGGACGCAAACCAATTGCCTTCTCCTAAAGAGAGCTGCTTCCAGTGAATACCGGAAAGCCACCTTAGCAGATGGATAATTCTTGGCTGACGACAGGGATGATGAGCAGCCTTAGGCAAGTGGAACTGAGAGTGCCCATGCTGGAGACAGGGGACCTGCTGCTGCTGCTCCTGTTGCTGCTGCTGTCATTGTGCTACTTGCCATTGTATTTTCCAAGATGCCAGGAGCAGCCCACCCTCTCCTCCCCTTTCTCTGATCTCAGGCTTTGATCTCCTCTTTGCTTGGGATTGGTGGGGAGAGGACTGGGTTCTGGCTTGGGGTTGGCCAGGCTGCTTGTCACTCCTGAGCTGTTTGGTTGCCGCTGCAGGGAGATTCTGAGGTTAAACAGTGGGAAGCTGGGATTTGTAGCACCCGGTGCTGACAGTCGGGAAGGCTGCTCAGATGTTCTGCAGAGCAGAGGGAAAAGGAAGGGTTTGTGAGCCTCAGCCGGAGCCCTCTCTGGGATGGTGTTTTGCCACCCTGTACTTCCAGTGGTTCAGGAATATGGAATTCCAGCCCTGCTCAGCTCTTGTCAGGGAAATGCATCACCAGGAACTTCATTTACAAGAGGGCATTGGTCCCTGCACCATCAACGCAGAACCATTCTGCCTTTCACTCAATGCAGTTTTCTCTTGTCCCTGGTAGTGCTAATACATAATATTTTGTTCTTCTTTGCTTTCATTGGAGGATCTTTAAAGCACTTTGAACATTTTAGTACTGAAGTATAGTGGACATGTAGGACTGCAAGGGACCACTTGGGTCATTAATTTAGTCCCCCACAATCACAGTCAACTATGTAGTAGATATGAAGTCCGGACAGGTCCATAAGAATGTGCCCTTTCCCTCCCCATAACACACATGCATACCACGAGGCACAAACCACTATATACTATACTGTATATTTGTATACGCTGTACAAACTTGAAACCTTCAGTACAAAAGATCAGAATATTCAGGAACTTCAATGTGCCATAGAAAGAGAGTGGGATTGACAAAGGCCACTACTAATGCCAAAGGCCCTGCAGTGGCAAGGATTTGTTAAATGAAATATGCCCAAAGAGTTCTAATGAGCAACTTGTAATTTCAGCATTTGTCTGCTGGAAGTTTTGAAGAGAGAGGAAATAGAGCTCCTGTGCACTCTTGGCAGTTAGGAGCATCTTACTGGAATTACAGCACCACAATATCTGTCTGTTGTTGGTGAAATCAGAATCCAATCCACAGACCAATGGCCCAGTCTGCAAAGGTGGACTCTGAAGTCTCCTACCCCTCAATCCTACCTTCACATCCTCCAGTGCTTTCTGAAAAATGTGACAGCTGCATTTTATATTAGTCTGAGCCCTTCTCCCACCCACAAACACAAAGGCAAAATCTTTTTTTATCCCAGGCTTAGCAGCAACAATGCCAGGGGACATGTACCAGGGGAGACAGTCCTGTCTGGAGAACAGTATGTAGTTATTAGTTTCCAAAGTGTTGGTTTTATAAGGAAAATTTAAAGACAGTAGGGAATAGGCAGGAATTATACATGACTAAACACCAACATGCAAAATGTTGGGATGTTTATTTTAGTGTAGTAGTATTGCTTTGTATTTTGACCAACCACATAACTACACAAGATACAAAAACTCCTTTGAAACATTTTGATAGTAGTGTGTCCCACCCACAAACACAAAGGCATAATCTTTTTTGATCCCAGACTTAGCAGCAACAATGCCAGGGAACATACACCATGGAGACAGAACCCAGTCTGGATTCACAAAATAAGCCCAGATATTTCAGATAGGAATCCATAGTGTTGAAAACATTTCAACTTGTTGCAGTCTTTTGGAATTCTTTGCAAACAAAGACTTGCTTTATTATTTTTCCATAATAAGAAAAAACAAGTGAAAACTATGAGCTGGCATTTTTTGAGGGTTGTCGTCAGTCTAGCCAAGCTGAGAACCACTAAGCTAGACTCTTATATCAGTGACTGAAACTGGTCTCTTGAATGATTGATCATTATTTAATTGTATTGTGGGAGCACCTAGAGGCTGTATTCCAGGATCTGTATTCCAGAGGCTGTATTCCTTTAGGCTTCTGTTTTGGCTGCAATACCTTGGATCCACAGTGAGTGACATGCTGTCACTGGATGAAGAGCTAAATGTGTACATTGGAAAAGCTGCTAACCTTTCAGTAAGCTCTCCAGATGAGTCTGGAACTATACAAAATTCACAAGCAAAACTAAGGTGCTTGTGTACAAACCCTACATCCTTAGTGTTCTTATGCATAGATGTGAGACATGGTCAACATATGCATATCAAAAAAAGAAGACAAACATCTTCCATCTACACTACTCATGGAGCATCCTTGACATCAAATGGCAAGACAGAATTACCAACACAGAGGTCATTGCCAAAGCCAACCTGCCAACCATCACTGCACTACTCAAACAGTGGCACCTCCACTGGCTTGGCCATCTCTGCAGGATGGAAGATGGGCATATCCTGAAGGACATCCTGTGTGGGCAAATTGCAGATAGAAAGAGAAGAGTAGGGTGCCTAAAACTGCGCTTCAAAGATGTCTGCAAGCAGGACATGAAGGCTTTTGGAATCAACACAAACCTTTGGGAGGCCTTAGCAGGAGACAAGACAAAATGGCACTCCCTTCTCAATCATAGAGTACAACATCACTATGAGAAACGGTTACTTAAATTACAACAGAAACATGACTGAAAGAAACAGACTGTCAATACAGTAGCCCCTAGTGCCATGTACATGTGTGACTACTGTGGCAGGACCCACAAGTCTAACATAGGTCTCTACAACCACAAGAGAAAACGCACCATCAGTCAGCAGAATAGGTGCAATAGCCATCATCACTTGTTGACAAATGGATGCTATCGTGGATTCGTTTGGGCTAGCGACTCACCAGATACATTACCAAAAGGCAGGCCTTGTCCTAGGGAACTCTGTTTAAGAAGAGACTGTCCTTGCGCCCAACACAGGGGCAGCCTGTCCAGATTCAGAGAATCCCTGTTCCCCCGAGCGCTACCAGGAGTGACAAGAAATAATGGTCACAAGCTGGCAGAGGGTGGATTCAGACTAGACATCAGGAAGTGCTACTTCACGGTCAGGGCGGCTAGGATCTGGAACCAACTTCCAAGAGAAGTGGTGCTGGCTGTGTAGAAATTTACTAACAAGACCATAAATAATAGTGTAGAAGTTAACTATAAAGCAGTCTCAGCACTTCAAGGACACAGGCCTAGTTGCCTTGAAGTCTGAAAAAATCAAGGATATATAGCCCTCCTCCCTATTAGTTAGCATGCAGCCAAAAACCAGTTTGAAACAGTTAAGAGTTTTCTCACACTGACCTGATATCGTTTTCTTTCACAGTGGAAAATTCGCACCTGTGCGCGCATCTTGTCTGTAAACTATAAATCGCTTCTAACAGTTTTATTCAGGGCCTCTGAGCTTGCTTAGGGTGCCCAGCATGCTGAATAAAATTTGAGACTGACAGCGACTCTGTGTCTTTGGGAACAGCTCCGCAAGGGGTCACGAACTCCTTAGCAGTTCCTACCCTGGGGGTCTTTAAGAGGAAGCTAGATGTACACCTTGCGGGGGTTGTTTGACCCCAGTACTTTTTCCTGCCAACGCAGGGGGTCAGACTTGATCTGCTTAGGTCCCCTCTGACCCTACAAACTATGAAACTGAAATGGGGCTAGGGCAGCGTTCCCAGGAAAGGCCTTGTTAGAAAATGGGATTTAGGGATACTGGGGAGCACTTGGCACTTGCTAGGGAATCCCTTGATCTCTGAAACATGCAGGATAGATGTATGCCTTATAGCCCAGTGATGCGCAACAGTGGTGCCTTGATCCTTTCACAGGGGTTGCACAATGTAGGCACTGTCAGGTGTGCCAGCCTGATTCCCAAAATAAACCCAGGCATTTGAAAAAGGGATCTACGGCTCTGCCCTGCGGTGCCCTTCCGGAGTTCTCTGTGACCAAACAGCTGCTCTGTTCTTTTTGCCTGCAGAAAAGTCAAATGAAAACGAAGAAGTGGCATCTCTTGAGGGCTGTCTTGAGTCCAACACGGATGAGAAGCAGTTATAGGCTAACTCAAGTGTGTGTGTGTACACGTACACCGCTACGTATCCGTTTATGCATGCCTACATGCAGACACACACCTCTGCCTACACCCCCCGCCCTCGGGCCGCGGCCGTGAGCGGCGGAAGCTGCAGGAAGCGCCGGGCGGCGCATGCGCAGACTCTGTTCCGGCCGGGCTCAGCGGCGCGGTGTGGCGGGGCGGGCAGCTGTAGGTCAGCGGCGGGCGCGACAGCAAAGGGCCCCCCCCCCCCCCCGGGCGGGGGCAGGAGCCCTTGGCGGGTGCGGG